TTCCATAGCACCATGTACTTCTTTTCGCACTTAGCACACTCTCATTATCCAGGACTGGATCTGTCTTCACGGATAAACTGTGAAGTCCCTATGGCTGGAACTGTGTTTGATCCACCTGTGTCCTCAGTGCCTAGCAGAGGGTTTGGCACATGGTAGACAATCTTATATAATAAAAGGCTAAAATGCAAATCATCTGAACAGCGGAATGACCAGTTGTTATGTCATGCACTGACCACCAGGATGCAGACACTCAACGCAGGAGCTGCCCTCCTGATGATCAGTGTGCTCCCACAGTTGCTCAGTCAGAAGCGGGCTCATGGCTGTTGAGCACAGCAGTGGTTTCTGGAGCCTCTCCTGTCTCCCCAGGCAGTGCTAAGGACATCCCCTGAGAGCTCCAGGACTTCGAGAGGGTGCAGGCCTCCTCCAGTGCACAAATTTCATGCACTGGGCCTTTAGTAATAAATATTTGTTGAATGCAAGAACAAATAGTCCTGACTTAGTCCTGTCTGTGACTAAGATGAAGATGTGAAGAGCACCTTGGTGACAGGCTCCTGGCAGTGCCTAGGAAGTGGTGTTTGGTGACAGTGGTGACAGCAAGGGAGTGCCACACACATGCTTGCAGACTGTGTGATTCTTGGCTCTCTGGGGATGTGGCCCATCCAGAGGGATTTGGGACAGAGACAAGGGTATCCAGCACCCCTGGGGGTCCTATAACCACAGTGGGCGAGGGAGCTGAACGAAGGGCAGGACCTCATCAGTTTGGGAGGAACCCAGCTATCTTGCGTGTGGCAGACTTCATGTGGGCAAGACTGAGCCAGTACATACCATCTTTGGTGGGTCTGGCTTTCCCGAATCACCCACTGCCCTGTAGTTCCCTGGAGTTTGCGGCTCTGAAGGATGGTTCTGTGAGGAACAAGTCTAGCCATTGATTTCATTCCCTTTCCTGAGAAGGAAAAAATCTCCATGAGTCTTGAGGAAGGTCTTTATAGACCAAACAGAAACTTACGGAACACTCGATCCTTGGGAAAGATCAAGCCAGCAGGGATGCAGGAACCAGCCAGTGAAGATCTTGCAGGCCAAACTAAGCAAGTTGAACCACTGGAGAGCCTTGGAAAGATCTTAAATTGGAGGCGACTTATAGGAGTCCACTCTAGAGCAGGGCGGTGAATGGAAGGAAGGGAGCCAGTCCAGGACCCCTCTAAATGATGAGAAATGATGGTGGCCTGAACCAAGGTGGGGGAAATTGGAGTAGAGAGGAAGGCACGGGCTGCAGAAGTTCTTGGAAGTTGGAAGGAACTGGACTTGGTGATTGAGTGCCATGAGTGATAGATCTTCCCTTACTTCAATTGATGGACAGACATACACCCCACCTGTGGCCAGACATTCCTGAGCTCTGAACCACCAATCAGCACCTGCCAAATACCCTAAGCCCCCAATTCCTAAGTCCCTAGGTCCCTAATCAATCAGCTTGTGCTGAGTGCCCTAAGCCCCGCCCCCTATCCTTAAAGGTGCTGGTACGCCCCTCACTTGCTCTCTTCCGCTCCTCTCCGTGGAAGCAGCCGGCAGGGGTACCCTTCCCCCCAATAAAGCCTGTGCGTGTCCTGCCACCCAGTCTCCGGTCTACCTTCTCTATTTAATCTATCAATGAGGAGAACTAGGAAAACTAGACTCACACCCCAAAGGACCGAGTGGAATGACCCAGTTTGTGGGTGAGAAGATGAGCTCAGATTGGGTCATAGGCAGTCTGAATTGAGTCACCGGGGTGGAGCTGTCCACTGGGCAGTTGAATATGCAGTGGGGATGGGGGCACGGACTCTGCTGGAGACAGAGGTTGGAAGTCCAGGGTATGAGTAGGGACTGAAGGCACAGAAAGGAGGAGATCCTAGGAGGAATGGGAGAGAGGAGGTCCCAGGCCAGCGAAGGGAAGCATCAAGGTCTAGGGAGGGCTACCTGAACACTGGAGAGTGGGGGCCGCCTAGAGGAGTCCAGGAACCATCCGAGTCCCCTCCAGCCGCTAACTCGCACACACTCAGACCTGTACACCCACAGGTCCAGCCCCACATCTCTGTGCGCCCCTGCAGGCTCCCATCACTGCACACCCTGCCCACCTCCACCCACACTCGCAGCGGAGGGCTCACCCCACAGTCCTCTCTTGCTCTTCCCACTTTAGCCTCACTCCTCCCTACAGATCCTAGAGTTAATCCTCCTTCTCCCCCAGATTAGGGGCGCCGCCCCCCTTTGTGCGTCCAAGGGCCTGAGGCGAAAGCCCTGGAAGGCGGCCGGCCTTCCCAGCAGCTGAGGCGGAGGCGGCAGGGGGCGCGGGGCGGAGACACAGGAGGGGAGGGATCGGCTGCAGCTGTCCCGCGGGGCGGGGGCCGGGACAAAGGGCCTGCTGGCGGCCGCCCTGAGCCGTTTTCATGCTTGTTGGGATTTAGCGCAGGAAACTCGCTGGCAGCCGTGCGGATCAGCGGTTGGGGGCGCGCCGCCGCGTGGGGCGGGCTCGGCCCTGCCAGACCCACGCTTTGTGGGGGAACCCCCGGCCCGCGAGGCTCCGAGGAGGCCGCCCCTTTGTCTGCGCCTTTAGGGGTGGGGGAGAGGAGGAGCCCCGCAGGAGACCGCAGAACACCAGCTGAACGCCTGCCTTCAGCCCGCTCCTTCGCCAGCACGGAGCACGGGAGCTCCACCTTACGGGGCAAGGTCACGGCTCCCACCCAGCCCAAGTCTCTTGGACAACCCCCATCTCACTGCCCGAGATCTCTCTCCCGCCAGGTGGGTTTGGGGGGTGCAGGCCCTCAGGGACTTAGCCCTTTCCCGGCCCTGACCCCGTGCCACCTCCCTCCCTGCTCCCGCCAGTCCCACAACCGGACACCTCTCTCTTTGAATCTACTGGTGATACATCTCTGAGGAGAGGAGGGGTCTGAGGAGAGGAATGGTGCAAGGCCGGCATGCAGAATGGTTAGGGATGATCTGGCAGGCAGGCAGGTGAGTGGTTAGGAGCCAGCAGTTGGACATCCCCCTAGGGGTCCCAGATTGGAAAGGGTGTAGGCTGGGTTGAGGGACACCAACTCCATCCCCCCCCCCCATGCACAAATTTCGTGCACCGGGCCACTAGTTATTTATAATTATATTCATGACTCTCATTAAGATAGTTTACTATGTGCCATGCATAGCTATCAGTATTTTTGCATATTATAAATTTAATCCTTAAGATAACCCTATGAGGTAGTTACAAACCTGTTTTCATTTTAAAATGAAGAAATTGAGATACAGTACAGAGAAGTTAATTGACTTACCCAAGGTCATAGAGACAGAGAACAATGATGCTAACATCCAAACCCAGGGGCCTGGCCTCACTGTCTGTGCTCTCAGCCATTGGTTGTGCGCAGAAGAGCCTTCACACCTCTGGGAAAGGGGTTCTTCCTAAAAATTCCCCCTCTTGGTCTCTAGGGGCTTGATGTCTCATTGTTAGAAATCCCTATGGTTAAAGTTATTCAAATTTTAGCTATAGCTCTTTGCTAGAACAAGATCTCTTAATAAGTGAATTTGTCAAAACTGGTTCAATATTGTTTCTGTATAAATATCAAATGCAGAGATAATAAGAATTATTAATATATTGGGTCACTATTTCTGGGAAGTATATTTTCTGGGATTTAAAATATATATATACCTTTATTTAAAAAAATAAAAAATATATATACTTTTCTCTAAAATGTTTCAATTATTTTAAGTGAAATATATTTTTTTGTAATTTTAAAATAAGCAATAAAATATTTGATTGATTTAATCAATAAAATATGCCTTCTATGGTAGGCATCCTCTAAGATGCCCTCTGATTCTCCCCCTGCCTGGTTCTTAGATGCTTGTGTAATAGCCTCCCTTTGAGAAATTTACTTTTTTTTTTTAATATATTTTATTGATTTTTTACAGAGAGGAAGGGAGAGAGCGAGCTAGAAACGTCGATGAGAAACACCCTCTACCTCTACCTCTTGCACACCCTCTACCGGGGATGTGCCCGCAACCAACATACATGCCCCTGACCGGAATCGAACCTGGGACCTTTCAGTCCGCAGACTCACGCTCTACCACTGAGCCAAACCAGTTTCGGCGAGAAACTTACTTCTAACCAGCAGGATATGGCAATATGGAGGGGATGAATGTTTATGATGAGGTTACAGAAACTGTGACTGCTGTCTTGCTAGTACTCTGACTTTCTTAGGTTGCATGATTTGATGAACTAAGCCGCCATGTTAGAAGGGCCCACATGGCAGGGAACTGAAAGTGACCTTCAGCCAACAGTCCTTGAAGAACTGAGTGCTCCATGCACCCTGGACTGACTCGGCCCTGACTGTAGCCTTAAGAGAGATTCCTGACCTACAGAAATGGTGAGATGACAAATGTGTATTTCTTTAAGTCACTAAATTTGAGGGTAATTTGTTATGCAGCAATAGGTAATTAATATACTTACTTTATAAAAGTAATGAATTTTTGAGACATCAATAAATCATCGTACAAATTAATATAAAACAGAAGATCTAATATGATTGGCATCAACAAATATCTGAAGTCATGTACATGTATTGTAACCACATCTGTGTCAGAACCACCTAAGGACCCTCGGTCTTTTGCAGTCAGGCTGCCTTTCAGGGAAGCAGTGGCTCCCGAACAGAGTTGAGAATATGAGTGTTTATGTGTTTTGTGATTGTGATTCTTTCACAATCAACGCCCCATTTTTAGGCCCAAAGGTGCCTTAGGACAAGGACAACCCAAATAAGGCTCTCGCAGAGGCCAAGTCCCTCCTTTCAACCTGAGACACCCCTTAGGAGAGACCTCAGACCACCATCAGACTGTCAATCATCGCAGGCTGGATTCCTCCTCCCCGGTGTCTTCCCCATCCTTACCCCCCCAGCTCAGAACGCTGCTCAAAAAGGGGCTCATGTGACAAAGAGGCCACCAGACGACACAAACTCAAGAATAGAATAGAAACACAAACTCAAGAAACACATTTCTCTGCTCCAGTTTATTCATCTTGGTTCAGACTCAACATGCAAAAGTCAGACACAAGTCCCCAGGGTCACTGTCTCAGCCTCACTCCCCATTGCTCCCCCCCCCCCACTCAGATATAGAAAGAGCCCCCCCCCCCCATTTTACAGATAGGAAGACTGAGAGCCAGACTACTAGTATCAATGACCTCCATGCCACTGCTCACCCACTAGGATCTTGCAACCTCTTGGCTCCCAGAAGCAAAACAGAGAGCCTGGCTGCCTTAGTCTTTGGCTCTCTCCAGAACTCACCAGCTCTCCACCTCACAGAGCTTCCGCTGGAGCCCGTCAACTCCCACTTAGAGAGCATTTCAGTGATGAAAAGGGGGATGATTCAATATTCTAAGAGTTTACAGAGGTAGGGCTGACCCTGTCCCCTGTTCCCTCTTGAAAGAATTGGCTCCTCCTGGCACAGACATTCTGTTTTCAGGGAAAAGAACCAAACTAATTCAACACCCAGCGCTGCTAAATCCAGAGAGGCACAGCAAGTAGAGGCACAGAGACGGAAGTGAGAGTTTACCCAACAGCCGGGGAACACCTTGTCCATTCTTTGCAAGCTTATTAGCACACGTTTCTTTTCATCAGAAGCTTAAATCAATATGGTCTGTAACAGCTCCTTTGCAGGGGAGAGGGACTGGTTTGTGATTTGTTTGGAACTGGTATTTGAGAATTCCCAAACTCCTATTTTCCATTATCATCTCCACATCCCATCTCCCACGTGCTGAGAGGCAGAGTTCAAGAGAGACAGTCCCTATCTTCTTCTCTGATCCCACCCCCATCCCTGCCACGGTGTCAATCACCACCCCCAGCTCCCCAGCCTGATACAAATGCTCTACCAATTGCTCTGGCAAAATTGCAGCCAAAAGCCTTGACAGGTTATGGCGGCTACTATCTACAGCAAATCCATGGTCAGGGACAACAGCCTTACCAGAGCAAAATCTAGGAAGAAGGAGGGGTGGCCTGGGAAACCCCAAAAGACCCTCTTTCCAGGGAGCAGTGGGGCCCTGTGGTCATGGGTAACATAGGGTGTGGATTGCCCCACATATGCAACTGAATATATATTTGCACACCCCACCCTTGCTCAGGAGTCTGCCTGCAAATACATATTCTTAATAGGCACTTCCCAGGCTTCACCAGCACACATGCACCCCTACAGCATACATGGGCCTACACAGACAAGAGCTCACTCATATACACCCACCACAAGCCTCAACATTCAAACCTATTCACAGGCACACACTTTTTTTGTATGTACAGTTGACCCAGGAGCAACGAAGGTTTTAGGGGTGTCAATCCTTGAAACAGTCGAAAATCCATGTAGAACTTTTGATTCTCCAAAAACTTAACTAATAGTCTGCTGCTGACCGGAAGCCTTATGAATAACATAAATAGTCAATTAACACATATTTTGTAGGTTATATGTATTATAAGTATTCTTATAATAAAGTAAACTAACCAAAATGTTATTACTCTCTTACATACATACCATACATACACAGATGGACACACACACAGGCCTGCACATAATTTAGGCTGTGTCTATATACAGCACACATAAGCTGATGCCTGGCACATGTTAGCACATACATACTCACTTATGCTTACTTGCACTCATACCAGCTAATAATCACATACTTGTGCACAATCACACGCATGCCTGCAAATATATACATATACGCTCGCACCCCAGAGAGGCACATGCTTAGTCCCGGTCCTAGGGCCTGGATGGTGCTGCCTTATGTTGGAGACAGCGGATTAGCTCCTTTCGGTTGTCTAGGATGGTGTCGAAGCTCTCCTGAAGACGGGACTGCTGGTCAACCAGCTGATGCTGCAGGCCTCGGATCCACTGGAGCAGGGCCAGGCGGCGGTACATCACCAAGTGCATGTGGTGCTTCTCCTTCTCCTGCTCTTTGTAGCGCTCTTGAGCCTGCAGCTTCTGCACAGCCTGGGCCACCGAGGGCAGGAGGGGATCTGAAGGCCCAGGGCCGGGAGAGGTCTCACAGGAAGGCTCAGGGCTGCTACTGAGGCTGTCAATGCTGAGGGAGCTGCTGGCATAGCCGTTGTCTTCCAGAGGGGAGCAGATGGTGCCGGCACTGCTCATCTTCTCAGGCTCAGCTCTGGGGATCTCTGCTCCCTCTGGGGGGCTGCGGAGCTCCCCCTCGGGCAGTCCAGGGTCCTGGAAGGCCTGGTTGTCAGAGGGCAAGTCAGAGGAGCTCCTCATCAGGTTGGGCTCCACTTGGTCTGGCATCCCATGCCAATTCTCATTGGCGTCCTTGGCAGTCGCCATGAAGTTGGAGTTGCTGTCTGGATGAAACTCAGGTTGGCATGCTCCAGGAGGCGGCCCCCCCAGGAACTGGCTCCCCTCAGCTACCTCTGGCTGGATGGCAAACATCTGGCCTGTAGAGGGGAAGCAGAAGGATGAGTCAGAGCAGGGCAGGGTGGGTGTCCTGACAGAGTGGAGGCAACCAGCAAGCGTGCTTGGCTGCTCCTTCTCGGTCCTTTTTCCTGTGCTCTGGTAACACCTCCCTTCCTGGTCTTCCTCCTCCCTTTCTGTCTGTTGCTTCTCAGTCTCCTGCACAGGTTTACCCTCAGCCCTCTGAGGCAGGGTGTCTTCTCATTCTATGTGCTTCTCCCTAGATGACCTCAGACTGCTGTAGCTTCAAGGAGAATCATGTGTTGGTGACTCAGATCTGCCTCCAGCTCAGATCCAACTACTTTTCAACCCTCCAACCAACCACAGGCTCTTCAAATTCTACGCGTCCGAACAGTTCTTCCTCTTCAGGGACCTGGGCAAAGTGGCCCCACACTCTAGTCAGACACTTGAGAGCATCCTGGACCACTCACTCTGCTTTAATATTTTATTGATTTTTTTACAGAGAGGAAGGGAGAGGGATAGAGAGTTAGAAACATCGATGAGAGAGAATCATCGATCAGCTGCCTCCTGCACACCCCCCACTGTGGATGTGCCCGCAACCAAGGTACATGCCCTTGACTGGAATCGAACCTGGGACCCTTCAGTCCGCAGGCCGATGCTCTATCCACTGAGCCAAACCGGTTCGGCCCTCAAGCTGCTTCTTTTCCCCATCTCATTGGCCACGAAATTCTGAGAGAGAAAAAACACACACCCTTTGTGTGTGTATGTACATACATCTCTCCTCGCTTTCACTTGGTTTAGGGTATTTCTTACCAGGACTGATGACTGCCACTGCCTTTTCTCTGATCTCTCTGCCTCCAATTACAAATGTAAATTTGATTCAGCCCAGCTCCCTAAACCTCTAATGGCCCACAAGGCTGTGCTTCATCTGGCTCCTGCTCACCCCTCCAGACTTGCCTCTTGCCACCCTGCCCCTCCTGCCATACCAAACTGCTCAGAGATCTCAGAAATGCACCATTATTCTCCTCCCACAATTCCCTTGACCTACGGTACCCTTCCTCTGCCCTCTCCTCTAATCCTTCTCCACCCACAAATTCCTTAAAAAAATTTTTTTTAATTGATTTCGGAAAGGAAGGAAGAGGGAGAGAGAGATAGAAACATCAAGGATGAGAAAGAATCATTCATTGGCTGCCTCCTGCATTCCTCCTCTTCCCCCCCTCCCCCTGCCGACCCAGGGGATTGAGTCCATAACCCAGACACGTGCCCTTGACTGGAATCGATCTCCGGGACCCTTCAGTTCACAGGCCGATGCTCCATCCACTGAACCAAACCAGCTAGGTCACAAATTCCTTTTTATACTTCAAAACTCAGCTCTAATATCCCTCCCCCATCTCTGATGCCATCCTGATTTTCTCCCCACTGCCCCAATATACACAAACACACACAGTTAACTGCCTTCCTGTGGGTCCCACTGCCCTGGGTACACACTGTCTAACTCATGTTTGTTTCTTGTCCCCAACACATAATGGATGATCAGTAAATGTCTATTCAATTTTTTAAAAACTCTCTTGTAATAGCAGCTTACAAATCCGGCTCCCTGACTATAATAGATGGGGAACTCCTCTATTTATCCTCCATCGTATTCCCAAGAGCCAGCATGGAGCTTGGCACTAGCAGGTGCCAGTCCATACTTGCTGGGTGAGAGAATGGGGGAGAGGGGGGTCTCCAACGGGGGAGAGGGGGCCTGCAGTGGGATATCTATGTTCAGGAAGAGCAGCAGGAGGCTCCTGCCAGCTGCCCAGGCCTGGCCCCGCTGGGTCCACTTCCTTCCTCTGCCCAAGGGGGACCCCACCTCCCTGTGAACAAGCCTCTTGGGCTTTGTCTCCTTCCCTCCATACCTACTATCCGAGTCCCTGCCCCTAACTTGCTCTATTTCGATGCCCTGAGGGAGGACATACAATATTAATCTTACTTCCTCAATAACCCCCTTCTACCAACATTGGCAAGAGGTTTCTACTGACCACGTACCACTAGAATTAGAAAATCTGGGTATCAGTAAGAGTGAGAGATAATGTAAGCGACAAGGACTCTCCCCACATCCAGTAGTGGGCAGAAGTCCTGGGGTGGGGGTGGGCTGGGGATGGTGGGTGGTGTAGGGACAGTTCCTTTATAACCTTCAAACACCCCGCTAAGCGAGGTGCCCGGAGATCCCCACCCAGATGTTTCCCTTTTCCTAAACTTGGGCGGGGCCTCGAAGGAAGCTGGGATGTGTTGGTGGTGGTGTGACGAGCTGCAGGGGGTCTCCAAGCCGGTAAAGTGGGAACCCAGACACCCCAGGATCAGGCTTCTCTCTCTAATCCTCAGTTTGCCGGGTTTGGGTGGGGGTGGAGGGGAGGTCGCTCTGTGAGGGTGGGGGCGATGGGCCTCCCTCCCTGCCCGGCCTTGCAGGAGGGGGAGACTCCCGGAAGACCGAAAGCAGACACCACCCTCCCCTAATCCCCCCATAGGAGGCAGCGGTGCGCAGGCTGCGATTTCCCTCCTGGTCCCCCGACCCCTCCGGCTGCGCCCCAAACCCTCCCCTTGGGCCCCCTGACTCACGGCCTGGAGGCGCCGCCCCTACGGCCAGCTCTGGCTCCACGGGCCCCGCGGCGGGAGCTCGGCCTGGGCGTCCACGCGGGCCCGGCGCGGGGTGCGGGGCTCCCGGCTGCGCTCCCAGCTCCGGGCGCGGACTGCGGGGCCGGCGGCGTCATTGCGCGGGGCGGGGCGGCCGGGCCCACGTGGGCCGCTTCGGTTTCCCGCGGGGAAGCGGAGCCCCCGGACCGCCTCCCCTTCCGCAGCCTTGACCGAGGCCTGGCAGGTCCCGTGTTCGTTCGTCCCGAGCTGCCCTCCCTGGGCTCCTCTCTGCAGACAGAGTGACATTCTCAAGATGAAACTCTGGTCATGGCACCACCCTCCTGCCTAAAACCCCCTGATGGCTTCTCCACTGCAGGGCGAATCCTGCAGGCAGCATCCTCCCGGCCCTGAGCATCCGGCCCTGTCTCTCCCTCGTCAGCCTCTGAGCTCCATCTCTGCAAGCCGGCCCGGGCTCCTTCCTGCCATGGGCTTTTGCACACACTGCTCCTGCTGAACATGACCTCCCCCCTCTCATACTTTCGGCCTCTTCTCAGATCAACCGTCTCTGATATTATCCCCCGAGCACGTTGTTCCTTTTGTTCCTAGCATCTATCACCGTTTGAAACGATGTATTCATTCTGTGCTTATTCACTAAAGTCACTTAGGAAAGGTACGTGTTTAAGAGCAGAAAGAACATCTGCTCCGGGACAGGCCTGGGGCTACTGCCAGGCCAGGTGCCGGTGCAGTGAGCTCTCCTCAGTGTCTATTGACTGAAGCCTGACCCCTCACTCCCTTCCTCCTTGGGGGACACGTATAGGGTTTGGGGGCCCAGTTTGCAATCAAAGAGAACAGAGGAATTTCTGGCTTCGATCATAAAACCGAAAAACACTGGCTGGTGTTAAGTAAGTGAAGGCTTCTTAAAATATTAAGTTCCCCAGAAAGAAGACTGAGACAAATTTAGCCTTCGGGGCACATGAGCTTCCGGGAGGAGGGGGGTCCCTTCCACACCATTTTATTGAACAAGCTATGCAATTATGTACCTTCCTCATGTATCTCCAACCCCATTCACCCCATTTCAAAACTAAACTAATATGGACTCATTGTTGAATAATACAGTTAAAATACCTTGTCCCATCTCTCGCTCCTAATTTTTTTTGGAGGTAACCAAAATTCTTAGGGGTCCTGTTTCAACCAGGCTATAAAAAATATAACAAATAGCCCTAACCTGTTTGGCTCAGTGGCTAGAGCATCCGTCTGCAGACTGAAGGGTCCCAGGTTCAATTCCAATCAAGGGCATGTACTCTCTCATTGATAGTTCTAACTCTCTATCCCTCTCCCTTTCTCTCTGTAAAAAAAAAAAAAAAAAAAAAAAAAAAAAAAAAATCAATAAAATATATTTTAAAATAAATAAATAAATAAATAAAATGCCTTGTCTTGCCTGGCCTGGGTGGCTCAATAGTTGAGTGTTGACCTATGATTACCTGTCAGAGCACTTAGCCAGGTTGCGGGCTCCATCCCCAGTGTGGGGCATGCAGAAGGCAGTCAATCAATGATTCCCTCTCATCATTGATGTTTCTATCTCTCACTCCTTCTCCCTTCCTCTCTGAAATCAATAAAAATATAATTTAACAAATAATAAAATACCTTGCCTTCATTCCTTTCTATTGCTTTTTTTTTTTTTTTAATGAGAAATAATTCAACTCTGTGATCTCTGCTGAGGTGTCCTCTTCCAGTTTCAACTTGATTCCAACTCACCATTCTGCTACTGAGAGACTAAACGTAAATTAAATCACACCAACCAATCCTATATACAAAAATAAGGGAGATGGAAGAGGGAAGAAAAACCATTTTATGAGTATGACAATTCCTATTTTTAAGAGGGAAAATAAAGTAAAAGGGAGAAGGCAAAAGTAACTCAAACTTTGGATACTCCCTCAGCTTCAAATATGCAGGTGGAGAACGCAGGTCTGAACTGAGTTTCCCTTTTCTTTTACCCACTGCCAGCTCCCCTTGCCTTCAGCCACAGAGTTTCCTTCCCTGTGAGGTGACCTGGATCTTCATTCCTAAAGGCTCTGGGCTCTGATGGTCTGGGATCATACAGCTCTCCCCAGGCCAGACAGCCACACAGTCACCTGATGGTTTAGTGGGCCCAGAACAGCTCCTCCCCACTTTTCCTTCAGCTCCGTCTCTCCCAGCCCTCACCACGTGGGTTAAACAGCAGCCTGATGAGTCCCAGGATAGGACTGCCAGCTCCAGGTGAACCTGTCAGTCTTTCCCTGGGACCTGCTGACATAAAATTAAAGGGAGACAAAGCAGGGAAGATGTGAGCCTAGGGCTGCAGCAATCCTATTTCCTGGCAGGTAGCAGTGAGTTTGTAATAGGAGAAAATGATGCTGCCACATAGAAGCAGAGACAAAAACCAGTGTCCTGGTGATGTTCCAGTCCGTGTCCTGAGGCCTTGTGTACCTTCCAATGAGGCCCTTGTTTCGCCAAGCCTAACGTGAGCGGGATTTCTTTTGCTCGCAATCAAAAGGACCATGATTAACAGAGCATCTCTGAGTCCCACGCAACAACCCCTTCATATGTGTTTTGGCTACAAAAGACAACAAATCAGAGATTGACTGTTGAGGTAGAGTCTATAGTGTCTGTGGCAGAGCCAGGCTCTGATGGATGAAGAGAAGCTCACCGAGAGAAAGCAGGGGAAGGCCAAGTGTGTTGAGACAACCCGGGGAAGGCCAATGTGACTAGTACAGGAGATGAAGCTGGAGGATGAAGGAGGCTAAGAGGTGAAAGGTCTTGACCACTGTTCTGTGGAGCCGGGGCTTCTTCCCCGGGGGCCGCAGGGAAATAACAGGGAGCCCCCAGAGGTTCCTCATCAGGACAAAGCCCAGGCTCCCAGTCCTGGGGCACCAGCCACCTGCTTTATTTTCTTCCTGAGCTCATATCATCATCTGCCAACCTCCTCACATGGGCCCTAACTGGTTTGGCTCAGTGAATAGAGAATCGGCCTGTGGACTGGAGGGTCCCAGGTTCGATTCTGGTCAAGGGCATGTACCTTGGTTGCAGGCACATCCCCAGTAGGGAGTGTGCAGGAGGCAGCTGATCAATGTTTCTAACTCTCTATCTCTCTTCTTTTCCTTCTCCCTTCCTCTCTGTAAAAAACCAATAAAATATATTAAAAACAAACAAACAAAAAACCTCCTCACATGGCTTTGGGAACTTTAGGCAAATCAACCCAGTTTAACCTTTTTAGGTTAAATAAAGATATTACGCCTTGAACATAATTAAGTAACGTTATAATGTGAACATTGTTAGTTGGGATCTCAAGACCAGGCACACAGTCTTTGGAGAATCTTTGATGCATGAGAGAGCCCCGAAGGCATATTGGAAGGAAAAACATTCCCCAGAATTAGCTCATCTCGGGAAAGAAAGGCCTACAATGCTGGTGACCTAGTTGTTTTGTTCATCCATTTTTCTCCTCAGCCTCTTAAAGGCAAAGTGCACTTAGTCTATCAAGAAAATTCTGCCGAAACCGGTTTGGCTCAGTGGTAGAGCGTCGGTCTGAGGACTGAAAAGTCCCGAGTTCAATTCCGGTCAAGGGCATGTACCTTGGTTGCGGGCACATCCTAGGTAGGGGGTGTGCAAGAGGCAGCTGGTCGATGTTTCTCTCTCATCGACGTTTCTAGATCTCTATCTCTCTCCCTTCCTCTCTGTAAAAAATCAATAAAAATAAATTAAAAAAAAATTCGGTGACCACGTTAGGGAAGACAGGTCCACTCCCCACCTCCCCATATGGCTGTTTTCTCATCTATAAAATGAGCGGGACGTACATCAAGTCTGAATTTTTTTTTTTTGAAGACTTGGAATCTTTTATTTTCATAGAAAATATTTGCAGTACACCCATTTGAGGTCTCTTTCTCCCCTGAACACTCCCACCCTAAACAGCCCCTGAGGGGGGTGTCCCAGGAAGCTTTTAAAGTTCAGTGGGACAGTTTCAAGTGCACTGCACCACATGAACTTGGGAGATGAATTCCACCCCAACCTTTCCCTTCACTCCTGGAGGGGAAAGGGGCAAACGGAGGGGTGTTTTGGAGCTGTTGGAAGAATGAAATAGACCCTTTCCCTCAAGGCAACCAAGTGGTTGATGTTCTCTCCCAAACCTCTCCTCCACCAGGAGTCCAGAAAAGTCAAATCCGAAGTCTTAAGGCTGTTGGAACACCCCAGAGCCCACAGCGATGGGAGTGAGCTCGATAAAAAATCTGATCTGAAGGAAGAATGAGAGAAGGGGGTGCCCGTTCCACCCCCTTCCTAGCAGCTGCCTCTGTGGGCTCCATAATCCCATGCCCTCTCCCCCACCGCATCCTCAGGCCGCCCACCTCTCCTCCACCCACCCCATTCATCAGGAGGAGGGCTCAGTATCAGCACAGCCTTTCAGGGCCTGACAGGTCCTTTCTGGGCGCCCCCCACATGTAACCACTTAACCTCCAGCACAAAGGGCTAGTCTGAATGGGCTTGGAGCTGGCGGCTCGTGCAGAGGGAGAGGCCTCAATAGGATTTGGGGAGCTGGGTGTATAAACCGCTCGGCTCCAGCAGCCCTCAATGGAGGCGCCGGAGTCGGGGCATGTGCCGAGGGGAGGAGCCCGGCAGCTGCATCCCGCCCCTGAACAATGATTTATTCATTCTCCGGGGACACACAGGGAACACGGGCTGGCCGGGGAATGTGGCCCCACAAATCGCCCTCGGCCTCTGCCGATTCCCATGGCAATCATTCTGTTTTAGAACGCACCCTCATGCTTGTAATTTATTGCCTAAAGCCTGCCGTTCCCATCCCCACAAGGAAGTAGAGTGCATTATGGGAGGCCTTTGGTAGCCTGAAGGTCAGGCAGGCAAATTTTGAATTGGGTCCATCCAGTCACAATCCCACTCTCTGAAAGCTTCCTGATCAGGTTTTTTCTCTCACCCATTTCATAGCAAGAGAAACTGATATAGAAGAAAAAAAGCACAGAGCTTGGCCTATCTCAGGACCCGGGGAAGGAATGAGAAAGAAGCAGGAAGTTGGGGAGCTTAGCCTTGAAATAACTGGCAGGTGCCAGGAAGGCTGGATGAGTTAATGGACGCTGTCCACACACTTCTCCCCAGCTCCGGTCCTGTAGCCACTCCTGGCTCCATTCCTGGGAGAATCTTT